GTGCTCATCTCAGGTATATGATGGGGCAGTTGGATGACGTTGTCACTTGTTTCATTTTGCTTGCACAAGGTTACCTAGGCTGATATTTGACTGGGAATACAAACAGAAGATTCAAATTTGCTCACACTCACTGGCCTCTGTAAATATCAAGGCTGTAGTTTAAGAGATCTCACCAGAATTAAGCATTAAATGTGACTGTGGGTGGAATGCATGGGGTATGTAGCACTATGATTTAGGTATATTGTAGTGCAAATAACATGCAGTGTGCTGGATGCAGCAAGGAATGCTTTTCTGTTAGCTTCTCAAGGTGGATGTTCTGAGGTGTGAAGAATCTTACATCTGAAAAACACTATGACTGATAATGAGCATGAGGAACAATGGTGCCCTCACCAAACAAGATGAAAGGAAGCAGGTTAACTAACAGAGTAATGGGAAAAAATAGTGTCAGTCTTTGCAGGTCATCCTCAATAACTCTGCTTCTGTGATTTGCTTGCTCTTGCCATGTATGCTAGAACACATCATATGCTGTCTGCTAACCACGCTAGAAATGTCCTAGGCCCTTGTAGGCTTTTTCCATGACAGTCTCAGAAAATCCTCCAAATATTCTTCCCTTTGAATTAATCCCTCACTGTCTCTGTTTGCCTGGAATGTGAGTGATATGAACTGAGCTATTGACTCATCGATGCGCTATGCAGGGAGGGCATTTTTGATTTTATTTTTATTGTTTTTCACTTGAGGTCACTCCCTCAGCCATTACTTTCCAGTTAAATAAATCCTCTGCATGTTTTCCCTCCTTGTTGGATTTCTGAGCTACGATGCCCAAATATTTGAACATTCATTTTCTTAGATTAAATAGTAACTATTTACTACTTATGCTTCTGTGGTCAGAGGAGACTGTTCTGTATCCTCTGTACAATCCAACGGGGAATGTTTCTTGTGACTGAGCACCTTTCCCTTGAATCAATATAGAAATGTTACCCAAAGGTGCAGCAAGTTAGCCTCACAAAAGAAAAGAGTATTCTTAGGAACTGCTGCTAGAATGGGTAGAAATACTTGACTAGATAATAGTTGTCTCTGGTCCTTAGTTCTCTTCTGGAAAGCATTACCCCCTAACAAATGAAATGGAGCCAACATAACCATTTAAAATAGTAAAGTAAACAGTTCATGTCGTAGTCAAGATAATCCTTAATTTCTGCTGCTTATCTGAGATCTGCCCTGCTGATCTGATGGGAGGATTTAACCTTCCTGAAAGCTGTTATCAGTGTATGTGCTTGAACTGGGAAGACCTCTTTGCACCTGCTTTTCAGAGCCCTTTCTCCTAGGAGATTAATGCTGCTATGCCCCTTTTAGAAAGGAAAACCTCTGAAATATGGATTATTTTTAGAGAGCTATACAAAGAATATTTTGCTACAATACAGCTTAAGGAAAATACTTTAAAATAATGCCTATTTAAAAAGACCCTCTTTTTTTTTCTTTCCTGAAGAACCTTGTTGTTTTAAATTAAAATAATTTTTGTTTTACAAAAGGACGTGTATAGTTGTGGAAATTAAAAAGAGAATAATTGGTTTATGGTTACTGCTGGTTGTGTAACCAACTCAAAATAAAAGCTATGGGGAATTTTAATTTCAAATTTCTTTGCTCTGTGTGGAAACCATTTTGTAATTTTCTGTTTCTCTTGGGATACTGTGTGAAACACAGAATGGCAGAGCAGATGGCTTGTCTTCTCTTTCCAAAGAGACAAGTAATATCACTGTGTTCAAAGGAGAAATCTAAAGGGGGTTTTGCTGGGATATGGGAAAGCCCAGTCTAACATCTGGATCAATACAAAAATCAGTGTCAGTTTAACAGGTTTAAATGTATAATGCTTTTCCCAAGCAAATGGTGGTGGTTTTGATGCCGTTTTTACTACATTTCTTATTTTAAATTGAAAAAAAAAAAAATCTGTCTTTAGATGAAGACTCTCTGGTATACCTGTGTCAGTGGGAGGATGGGAGAGAATCAGTGGGTGAAACGTCTCAGGCTTAGTCATAGTAGGAGCAAGGAGTGATGGCCTGAATTATGCAGCAAAAGTTCTCAGAATAGCGAATGAGTCACTATTGCCCTTGAACTTTCTGGATCTGAAACTATATTTATCATTTTGCATTGTTCCCAAGCTGTGTATTTGTAGTTCCACACACAGAGCAACTTGCATTTTCTGCCCTCACCAGTTAAAAACACAGACTGGGGAATTTCCATGGAGAGAAGTCGAGGATCAATTTCTTTAAGTGAGTTTTAAGAAAAGCTTTAATGAAGAATACTTGCAGTGGGAGATGACTAATATAGTAATGTGAAGGTAGTATTAACTAAAAGGTTAAATACAGGAATAAGGCAATAGCATACAAAATAAAAAGAAAAAAAAATGAAGTGAATAAAATTAAAGAGTTCCTGTAAGGTCAAGTATCATGGGGTACTGTTTTGAGAGGGAAATACTTTTGTGAATGCAGTAGCTTTTTCTTTTTCTTCCCACCACCTTATCTGAAATGTTCTGAACAGAAACCAGAGCGCTAAAAGGAAAGGTCCAGATAATTACATTTTTCATTCTTCCACTTCTTCTCCCCCTACAATATAAGAAATGAATTAGACTAGTTTTTGCACCAGGTTGTGGCTAAACAGCTGGCTTAGAAAAAAATGCAGCTGTCACACTGACAAACAACCTTGGCACTAAAATTCTGAATCTTGTAGTGTCTGCAGAACTATGTTCAATTAGTGACCAAATGCACAGTCTGGAAGAGACAGTCTTTGGTCTTAGAACAGCAGGCTCAGTAAAAAAAATTGAAGAGGTGTTTGAGAGACTTCTATCTTTAAAGCATTTTACATAACACAATTTTTAAAATGAGAAATATTATTATTGGGCAGCAGGATAAAAGAGGCAGTATTGGTTTGCCAAAAAGGACTTAGCAAATGGAAATCCAAAATCAGTTCCAGGAAATATAATAGGTAACGTAATAAGTATGTGAGAAATGCAGGTACTTTGCATTTTTGTATGTGAAGTTACTGCAGCACAGGATTACACATCCCACACTGGTATTTCAAGTTTCCTTGATCAGTGGGAAGCAAAACCATTGATGTGTGGAGGCTCATTTTATAGGCACAGATTATCAGCTAACTTTATATCTTCTTCCAAAAACCCTCATGGCTGTTGTGACAATTTATTAGCATAGGGAAATCCTGTGGGTATTTGTGCTGCCGGGTAAGTAGAAGCACAAGGCAAGACTAAACTCCATGTCTATATGTAGTTATCTCAGAGTGCATGAAAAATGGGTAACAGAACCTTCTCTGTTTTATGGGGGTCTTTACGAGGAAGTTACTATACCTAGACAGCTGAAACTTTCAATCTGGGGGGCGGTGGAAAACAAAATATCAGTATCTTCAGTGTAAAACATTTCAAAGAAAGTGTGTAGCAAGATCATTTTAACTCAGAATTGCAGCTTTTCCACCCCCACCTCTGCCAAACATAATAAACATACCAGATGAAATAAACCTCAATGCATGGGGAAATTGTTCACAAGGAAATTTAGCAGTAATAAACTCACAGCTCCATAAGTATTTACATTTTTGCTCTGAAAATTAAGATTCCTAAGCTGAGAAGACTAGGGACAATTAAAAAACTGGTTTGCATGTTGGCATTACTGAGGAAGTAGGATAACAGGAAATCTCATCTTCTACTTTTACCCATAATGGATAAAATTTGCTGATATAGATTTATACTCATCTAGGACAAATTTAGCAGTTGGTGATGTGAGTAAAGTTTCACCAAGTAACTGCAAAATCTGTGACTTCCAAAATGCTATATCCTGACAGCTGTGACAGAAGCTTAAGTGTATAAAAAGAGTGACATTTACACTTTGTGCTGAAGCCCTGCAGTTATTTTCTGCTACACTTTTGCTTTTAAGACTTCACAACCATGGGTCGGTGGCTCCCAGACTGGGACTGGAGGTGAGCAGCAGCAAAATTTCCACACTCTGATTAAATGTTTGATGATGTGAACATGAAGAATGGCCACACCCAGATCACCTAGGCAGCCAGGTGGTTGCTTTTTGTGGGTTTGTGTTTGGTTTATTTTTCTCAAAACCCAAAAACTTCAGACATTTGACCAAGACTTACAGCCTCCACTGTAAGTTTTAGCAATGAGCCATGCAGTTACCCTTTTATTGAAAATACGTGGAAACACCTTAGTAGCTCTGCTCCTTGCCGGAAGCGTTTGACCCAAAAAAAGTGGAAACAACCATTCCTTCCAAGGGCATTGTCAAGAGGTTCCTGTTCCCTGAGCCCTTTCCTAGGGTGCCTGGTGGGTGACGCAGGCCCTGTGCATCCTTCTCTCTTCTCTGTGGTGACCAGTGCAGTTATGGCAGCAGAGGTTTAGGCTGGGTACCAGGAGAATCTTTTGTTTCACGAAGGATGGTCGGACAATAGAACAGGCTCCCCAGGGCAGCGGTCACAGCGCCAGCCTGACAAGAGTTCAGCAAGGGTTCGGACAAGGCTCTCAGGCACAGGGTGAGGTTCTTGGGCCGTCCTGTGCAGGGCCAGGAGTTGGATTCGAAGATCCCTTCCCACTCGGCATATTCTGTGATCCTGCCGGCACGGCAGAGGCGGTGCACCTCGTAATCAAAAACATACAGTTTTTAAAAATGGCCATATCCATGGCAACCTGAACCCGACACCGCCGCAGCCCAGCCCGCTCCCAACGCCTTTACACGTCGCGGAGCGAGGGAGGGAAGGAGGAAGGGAGGAAAGGAAGGACGGAGCGAAGGAATGAGGGAGGGAGGCGGCGCCCCGCGCCCCCTCAGCGCTCCGGCTCCGCCCGCCGGGGGCGCTGCTGCTCCCGCCCCGCCGGCCGCGCGCCACACCAGCGGCCCCGCGGGGAGACGCGGCCCGCGCCGGGGGCGTGGCGGCGGCCCTGAGTGACGTTCCCTCTGGCCAATGGGCGCGCCGCACGCCTGACAGTTAGGCGGGCTCGGCCAATGGAGCGGTGCGGGGGGCGGGCGCGGCGCGGCGCGAGAGGCGCGGCCGGGCGGCGCGGCGGGCAGTCGGCGCGGTGGCGCAGGATGATGCGGCTGTGGCGCTCGGCGCTGCTGCGGGAGCTGCTGCTGCTCGGCCCGCCGGGGGCGGCCGGCGGCGGGGCCCCGGCACCCGCCGCCGGGACCCGGCGCCTCCAGCCGCCGCTCGCCGCTCTCGGCGCTAGCCCGCCCGCCGCCCGCCGCGGCCCGGCGGCGCTGCCGTCAGCGCGGGGTCTGTGCACCCGCTCGGAGGGAGCCTTGGAGGAGCCGGGGAAGGGGGCGCAGGCGCCGTCGCCGACTCCCGGCGAGACCCCCGCCGACAGCGGCCACAACAATAACCACGGCGGCGGCGGCGGCAAGGAGGTGGCCGTAGGCGGCGGCGGGGAGAAGTGAGTGTGGAGGGGGCGGCGGGCGCGGGGGATGATGCGGAGGCGCCATGTGAGCGCCGCCTCTCCCCCGCACGCGTGGTGCCTGCGGAAGGGGCCGGGCCGGGCGGGCGGGCGCTCCCCCGGCAGGTGCGGGGATCCCGGGGCTGCCGGGGCCCTTCCCGGCCGCTCCCCGGGTGCCGCGGGCCCGGCCGGCGGCTCGGAGCGGGAGGGAGGCGCGGCCGCGTGGCGGGGGCCGTGTGCGCCCCTCGGGGCTCCGCTCACCGCGGCGTGGGGCCGGGCAGCGCCTCGGGCTTCCCCCGCACCCCCGGGCGTCCCTCCGTGGGGAGGCCCGGCGCAGGTGCTAGGGTGGCTCTGGTAGCGCTTCCACTTGGCTAAAAATATTTCTTAAGAGAAGCGAAAGCTGTGTCATCTCGCATTAATTATTAAAGGCAGTGTGCATGGTGCGTAGTGCTGCCTTGGAAGTTTTGCAGTGCTGTCTTCGCCTCTGTATCCACCCGGATGCGTTCCTGTGTAACCTGCCCTGGGGTGACCCAGCCTTGGCAGGGGCACTGGGGACTGGGTGATATCCAGAGATCCCTTCCAGCCCTAGCAATTCTGTAATCTAGTGCAGCCAGGGACACATACTGCCATCCGTACGTGGTGAATACAGGTGTTTATAGGTGCTGCAGGATGCGTGCCTGTGCCGAGGTCCTTACTTGTCCCTTAGTGACATAGGTGTGTGCACGTAGTAGAAGGATAAGGCTGTATATTTCAATGAAGTTAATACTCCTTCATTCAGAAACTGAAATACTTCTTAAAAAAAAAGAACCCACAAAACATCAGAGACAGGTGTATCAGACTGGTTAGTGGATACGGGGGGGTTGGGTATAATGATGAGGTAAATAGTTTGGCAGAGCATTCTTCTCTGTTAGTCTTCAGCATTATGCAAGTCTTGAGTATTCATTTCCTACCACCCCTGCTAGGCTTTTTGAACCTGGGTACATTTAGAATCTCAAATAATCTTTTACCAGAAGTTTGACAGTTTAACTACAAGCCTCATGAAGACTTCTGCTTTGTATATGTTTGAAATGTGCCCCATGGTATTCTTGTAGGCACCCTGTGCACTGATTATGGGGTGGCATAATTGAAATTAAACCCAAGCTGTTTTCCCAGGCTTTGCTATGCTTATTACCTAGATGAAAAGAGCAAATGATAGAAGAATCAGGGCTGAGAAAGGAATACCTTGTTTTGATGCTGAGCAAAGTCTCTATTAGTTTGAAAATGATTCTACAAAGCCAGTCAGGAAGGCTTCAGCCCTTAGCTTGTTAATAGTTCTGCTTTTGAGTTGTGGTTTGTAGGGTTTATTTTAGCATGAATTTCAATATGGCAGGTGGGGAGAGAGGCTGTGACCTTGTTCTTCTCTGCCTTTTCCCCCCAGATGCGTTAGCTACTCAGCCTGGTTTAGTGGGGTACAGCCTGTTTTAAAGGCATCACCAGTTACTTCTGCTGTCAGATGCCTTAAAAAATGCATGCCCGTCAGGTTATGTAACTGTATGCAATATAATACACGATCATGATGGGTATTATTTTTAAATTTATGCTATTCAACAAATGCGAAGTCTCCTCCTTGAATTAGCTCTCTATATAATGTTTTGGAACAAAAAAAGTATTCTTCTATAGTTAAATAGTTGTGATTTATAAAGACTGCAATTCTGTTTTCAGGCAGAAATACACAAAGACGTTAAAAACTTTGGAAAAAAACAGCATGACAGCTGTGATGGTTTTTGAGGGTATTGCAAAAGTGATTTATTGAAGAGGTGACATTTTCTTAAACTGAGCTGTTATTAGCTTCCTACAGCTAGCATCGATTAGGGAAATTATTTAATTTCTAACATGTGTGGTAAAGCTACCAGTTAAAGACTTTTAATAATTTTTGGCTTTTGACAAAAGGATGTGTTTGAAAGTTAGATGATTGTTCTTTAAATCTTACTGCAAAATGAACAGGGAGAAATGCTGTAAAACATCTAGCATGAAGTTACAAACACAGAAAAAGCTAGAAACTTTCTTTAATTTCAGGTTGTGCAGGAATTCCTGGTGGTGCATTAGTCAGGCTGCTGGATACTTTCATTCTTACTTTTCTTGAAGCAGGACTCTGATAATCTTCCTTCAAGCATTTGTAAATGGTACATCCCATGTGGAAATCATTGCTATATTAATACAGAGTACAGGGTTGAGTAGCAAAGTGAGGTTCTTCAAAAGACAGGTGTCTGAACTGCATTGACAACTGGGCTAAGTCTGTGCAGTCTGTATTCTGCTGATTCCAGCACTTTGCCATGCATAGTGGCTTAACATTTGAGTGGTGTTTGACAAATGGTTTGTGGACTCAACTGGCAATAGCCTTTTTCTTTTTTAGTTAGTGTTGGTGGCTATTTTTTTTTCCTATTTGAGTATAAGGTCATGGTTCTGGGATACTGAAATAACCCATTATGTCAAAAGACAGCAGTAAGGTTTTCCTGTTGATTTGCTTTTCTAACACTCCTTGTGTACAGAGTAGGAGTTGTGAGTAAAAGCCTAAAATGTTCTGTGCAAACACTACAGAAATTGAGCACAGTTCAATTTTTCATAGTGAGAATAAATTTTGAGGTCTGTGGCTGATGAAATAACTAGTATCCCATTGCATAACCAGATCCTCTGGTGCATTTTTTCCCTAACATCTTCCACTATTTCCTTATCCTTGCTATCCAGCCTTCACACTGTGTATCCAACTGAAACTTAAAGGAAGAATAATTGAGTTTAAACTGAGAGTGGTCACAGACCAGTAAATTTAATTAACAGGATTAAAACACAATGGTATCTATGCTCATGCCTGCGTTACTAAAAAACAGCAGCCTAATACACTCCTAAGTTATAAATGTGTGTAATATTTTATATGCTTTATTCCTGCTTTCCATGTAACTCTTCTTCACTTGCTTTTACTTTCAGTGTAAGAGTTCCTCTTGCATTTTGTACTGGACAGTTAAGGGATGAAACAGTTTATCTTAGTAGAAGCTATTTCTAAATTAAAAAGGCCTTGATTAAGGTGAGAGGGAGGAGCAAAACGTAAGTGATCCTAACTTTTGAAAGCTAAATTGCTCACTTTTTTAGCTAGGTTGCAATAGTGCTAGATGCTAGTATATAGAATATAATCAAACAGTTAAAGGAAGTGTTTTGTTTTGTTTTTTTTTTTTAATGACAAGGAAGTGGTAGTGCCCTTTTTTAAGGGCAGGGATGAATTCTGAAAATTTGCTTTTGCAAGCCAGATAACAGAGGAATAACAAGTAACCAGGCAGTGTTTAATTTTGCTGATACTTTTGATGGAGTGTGGATACAATATTCAGAGATGCCAGAAACAGGCGTGCACTTTTATTATACCCTTCATAACTTCTGTAGAGGCCCAGGTTTTGAAGCTAGAGGTTTTGTTTTTTCTTTTCTCACCAGAAGCACTTTGTTAGCTACTAAACATGTTTATCTTTGGTCTGAGTTTATAAATATGTAGTTTGCTCTTGCACCTTTGTAGTTCCTGGGTGAATAGCTGCCCACCTCTGTTATGGGACCAGTGTCTCACTATAGGAGTGGACAGAAAGCAGTTACTTACTGACTGGACCAGTGTTGGAGATACAACCAAGATATACAGCATCTGTAGCATGGTGACTTCTTCAAGGTGCCTGTCTTAGTCAGAGTGGCTGCTGACTGTGACTTGTAGCTTCCACAGAATCCCAAAATAGTTTGGATTGGAAAAGACCATTTAAAGGTCACTTAGTCCAAACCCCCCTCTGCAATGAGCAGGGACATCTTCAAGCAGATCAGGCTGCTGTGAGCCTCATGCAATCTGACCTTGAATGTTTCCAGGGGTGGGGCATTTACCACTTCACTGGGCAGCCTCTTCCAGCATTTCACCACCCTCACCATAAAATTTCTTCATTATATCAAATATAAAGTTGCCCTCTTTTAGTGGAAAACTATTACGCCTTGTCCCGTTGCGACCCTGCTAAAAGCCTGTCCCCATCTCTTATAGACTCACTGTAGGTACTGAAGGGCTGCAGTGAGGTCTCCCAGGACCCTCCTCTTCTCCAGACTGAGCAACCCTAGTTCTTTGAGCCTTACCTCTTAGGCTGGAGGTGCTCATCCCTCTGGCCATCTTGGTGGCTTCCTCCAGACCTGCTCCAGTGGGCTGGTGTCATTCCTGTGCTGAGGGTCCCAGAGCTGAGTGTAGTACTCTCTGTGGGGTCTCAGCAGAGCGGAGCAAAGGGGAGAATCCTCTCCCTTCACCTGCTGTCCACACTGCTGTGGATGCAGCCCAGGAAACATTTGGCTCCAAGTGCCTGTGCCCGGGTCGTGTCCAGCCTCTCCTCCACCTGCACCCACAAATCCTTCTCGGCAGGACTGCTCTTCATCTGTTCTTCCCCCAGGCAGTGTTGATTCCAGGAGTTACATGGCCCGGGTGTAGAACCCTGCACTTTATCTTGCTGACCTTCATGAGCACCTGAACAAGCTTCTTGAGTGTGTCCAGGTCCCTCTGGATATTGGCCCATCCCTCAGGCTTGTCACCTGCACCACTCAGCTTGGTGTCATTGGCAGACTTGCTGAGGCTTCATTCAGTCTCACTGTCATTATCATTGATGAAGATCTTCAATGGTTCCTGAGGGACCATTGTTTGTGACAGTAATTGTAACCTCATTTTTATGACTGGTGTAATATTTGTTAATAATGCCTGAAACTATTATTAGCAATATCATATATTTTAATATAATTTGTTGTTCTGTAAATCCTGTTCTACATTTTGGCAGTTCTGTCCTGAAGTACTGAGTAAGAATCTTCCAAATCTTCCACATTATTCGAAATTTAATCTTGTTTTTATTCTAGAAATTCAGCATCTGTTAAAATGAAGTCCCCCCACCCCAGAATCTGGTGTAGACATTGTACTGATGGAAAAGGAGGAACTGAAAGAAGGATTGCAAAATCCTTGTGCTTGGAATTCCTATGTTGGTTTTTCTTTGTATTTTAAAAAACAGTCCACCAGTATTGTAGTACACAGATTAGTATACTGCCAAAGAAGTCTAGTTGTTTAATAGTATTTTTTTTTTTCAAGAAGGTAAAGAAATATCAAAAGTCATTATTCATGAAATAGGTGAACTGGAATTTCCACTTAATTTGACTGTGAAAATTGCAAGTCCCCTGACCTGAAAAACAGCTTTTTGCATGTGTGGAACAGAATTATCTTGCTAAGTGTGTTCACAGTGCCAAAACACATCTTTTAGGTTAAGCAAACATTAGTTACTGACATCACTGATCTGATAAACTGCAGAGCAAGCCTTTTCACCCCTATTTAGCTGATAAACTTTACCAAAAGATGGACTATTTGACAAGGAGCAATTTTCTGTAAATGTATTAAATGTCATCCTCTTTGCTTTGGTTGTCTGTGCAGCCCCGTTGTTTAATTAGGCTGAGTGACCCATATTGAACAACAGCAGATGTGAAAGATAGGAAAACCACGTTGAGAGATTTTCTGTGTCAAAGGTACACATCTCTTTAATAGATTAAAATCTTATGAAGAGGCAGGTAAAATCTTGCTTAAATGGCTGAAGTATTTTTCTGCATCTTTTCAGACAGAAATTCCATACTTGGAACAGCTGTAAAATTAATTGCTCAGAAATGTGTAATTAAATAGGTTATCAGTTAACATTTCTCAGTGTATTTGCTGGCTAATTTTGCCAAAGTGAAATAGGAAAATTTCTTCTGCCAGACCTTCACCAGCCCTGGAATGACTTGTGTAGCAGAGGCATTCCTTAAAACATGAAATCTTGACATTTTGGGGAGCTCAGTTGAATGCTTTATGTAAATGATGAAGATGTAGGGGTGTAGATGATGTAACTTAGCATAGCTTTTAAAATTAGTTCCCTGCAGAATTAGGATGTAGACATCCTAAAGCTTTAGTTGCTGTGTTGGTAGTTCTGGTTCTGTTGGCTTGGCTGGACATACTGTCCCAAAAGATTGAAAGTGAAACATGCTGCCTGGAAGATCTGAATTTTCTTTAGGAAAAGGGCTGTTCAGTAATTTGCTTGAGGTAGTTGCAAGCGTTTGTCTTGGTTGAATTGCCAGCCTGTCTGTGCATTAGTCAGTCAGCATAATTTAAATTAAAAAAAAATCTAGACTGTGAGACAAGGAAAGTTCTGTTGGCTTACAAAGCTGTCTTCTGTTCTTAGTATGTAAGTACAGGGTTTTAAATTGGAAAATGAGAGGTGATATTTTTTACTGCTGGTTTTCACAGCTAGTTACAAGGAAAGGAGGGAGGCAAGGGCAATCTAGAAGTTGTCTTAAATTTATAAGGGTATTTGGATATAATCATATTTTTATTAAAAATAATCATAAATCTGACTTGGATAAGTATTGGGAGAGAGAGGATTAAACGTCAGTCAGTAAGATTGCATTGGCCTATCTGGGGTCTGTGCTTAGCTGTAGCATTTTATTTTTGCAGTTATAGCCCTGAGTTCTGTTATTCAAAGAATTACTAATCTCTTGACAACTTCAGTGACTAGAATTTGGACCTACTTTTTGTAAACACATGCATAAATATATAAAATTATATAAATTGCCAATAAGCATTCTAGTTTCAGGCAATAGTTTATCTATTACTGTATAGGAACAAAGTATTGCCAGTATTAATAGATTATAAGATAGACCTTTAAAATGGATGGTTAAAATAATGTAAGACTGCATACTCTGATTTTAGTTACTATCTATGTATTTTTTTCTTTTGGTTTCATGTATCTTTGTCTTTTTGTGCCTGGAAACAAACCTGGGCACTTCAGGCGACCAAAGAATCAGAATCCCTTTGCTGTCACTGTCCCTCTCAGTCTGGAAGTGTAGTGGGCACTGCTTACAGGTCAAGTGTAAAGACTTGCCCTGTAAGCAGTGCCTGCTGCATGTGCTTTGGAATATCAGGGAATATTTTTATACTTTTTACAGGTTAATTCTGTCAACTTCAAATGGAAGGGAAAGCTGTCAGTACTACAGCTTTCTGTCTTAGAAGGATTCAGAGTGCTTAGTTTGGCAGGTTTCCTTCAGTTTTCACATGAAATGGAGATGCAGGTAATGAAAACCTGCAGGTGTAGGGGAAGCATATCTCAAAGTGAAACAGGTAACACCTGGGACCCTTGGAGAGTGGTGTGTTTACACTGATAAGCACAGTGACCATTAAAGGTGCATCTACACTGGGTTTACTTAGCTAAGTAGGTGTGATGAGAGTCACTCCTTCTGCTTCAGGTACTCTATTATGCTGCAGATGGCTTTGCTTGTTTCATGGTAACTGATGGGGCTTACATAAGCTTCTGGAAGGATAAGGACTTTGGGACTCCTCTGTAGAGTCCTGAAAAAGGGACTGTTTGGAAGAAAATATTACACATTTATCATCTCCTTCTTTTGCCTGTAGAACAGTTGGGTCAGTATGCTCTACAACTTCATTATGAGGCATGTACATCCTGGAATCTTAAAAATAAGTTATCCTCTGCAAGTAACATACCTATCCTTGGTAACATCAAAAAGAGGGATATATGATTAATCTTCTCCCAAAAACATCTAAATATAATCTTAGCGGTAAATGTCTAACAGTAAAAATATGACTAAACTGCAGTTAAGAATGTTTGCTACTGCAAAATCTGTGTATGCTACTTGAAATACTACCATTTTCTTTCTACTTGCAGTCTAACTAGGCTTTGTGTTCACTGATGAAAACGTTCTTTGAAATTAGTGGTAGCAGTGAAAATGTGTTTCCCTGAGGAGAACGCAAAAATGTGTATAAATAAAAATAGGCACTAAAATAATCTATGCTTTTTTTTCTGTTTTCCAGTAAAGTGAAACAAGGTCTCCTTCCCAGCTTAGAAGATCTGCTTTTCTATACTATAGCAGAAGGACAAGAAAAAATACCAGTTCATAAATTCATAACTGTAAGTTTACTGTTCCAAAGTGCTGTATGAATGTAACTACTGCAAGGTTATTTTAACATTTTAAATGCAAGAATGCAAAGCAAAGAATTTCTGTTGTACTTGTTTATCTGCGGGACGGAACATATTATTTCCCCCCCAGTGCTGTTTCTGTGGTTAAGTAAGAGAATGAGTATATTAATGTTATTATTCGCTTCTTTGATGTGCAAAAGAGTACACTTGAAAGTAGCTGTGCCTGTGGCATAGCTCGGTAGTATTAGTGCTTGTGTAAAATGTAGTTGGACCACTGGATTTCAAATAACATTAATGTTTTGACATTAAGTGCAGCCAAAATGGCCAAAGGAAATTGCTAAAGAAACAGTGAAGTGTCACAATGTCTCTGTTGATGATGCATTGGCAGGTCTCTTATGGTGATAAATGCTGAGCAGTAGATAACTTGATTGTAATAGCATATCTTTTCACTTAGTAATTATTGTTTTATTGTAATAGGCACTCAAATCTACAGGATTACGTACATCTGATCCTCGATTGAAAGAGTGCATGGATATGCTAAGACTGACTCTTCAGACTACTTCAGATGGTGTTATGCTGGACAAAGACCTTTTTAAAAAGTAAACTTTCTGTCAATTATGTAACTGTATAATTCTGAGTGAATGCTGTCTGTGTGTTACTGAGTGCTGTCTTAAGGAGAGACATGAGGTATATAAATTGATTAGAAAGGGAGTCAAACACACACTCCTGATACTGTTTTGATAAAAGTTAGTTCTCAGATTTCATGCAGCAGACAGGCTATCTCATCTCCACAAGAAATTAATGTGTCAATATTGTTTGCATGTGTGTCTGACCCCATGCTGCAACTCTTGGTCAGATGCCAAACAATATTAATTGATGTAGCATTGTGAAATTCACATTCTCTGGACAGAGAGATAAAATTCTGTCTCTCAGGATTTTTGGAGAAGCGCAGAGAGAAGAAGAGAAAACAATCTCTATATCTGCTCCCTTGCTTTCCCCAAGTGGAATGTGGTATGGAGATTGTTTACCTGAAGTGATTGCTGGGTGGGGTTCTGGTGAAAGTTTCTTGGGTTCAGTGACCAATTGGATCCAGCTGTGGCTTGGGCTCTCAGCAGAGAGTCACTGGTTTTGTTAGTTAGATAGGTAAGTAAGAACTAAGTATGTAGAATAGAACAGTATCTCTTTAAGTAGTGTATTCATGTAATATAGTATAGTTTTACTAAAGCTATCCTTCAGCCTTCTGATCTGGAGCCAGACATTATTTCTTCCCCGAGATGGGGTTTGCCGCATTTTTACTATACAGCATGAAGTGTTTATTATGATTACATAAAATTGCTCTCTCACTGTATTGTCAGTTTTTAGTCTGAAGTTCAGGATTCTGCTTCTGTGTGGCGAGATGTTCAAAGCATGTATGTAAAAGTGAGTGTGTGGAAAATGGTGATGTTAAATTTCAAGATATGTGGAGATGAGAGGGGTTAGGATTGCAGACATTGGTCTGTTTTGGAAATGATCTGTGTGCTGTATTTTAGTGATGCTTTTGTGTGTTTTTTTTAGCAAAGTCTGTAGTCAGGTGAAAAGCATAAGCACTGTTCAGGTTGTCTTCTGTTTATTTCAAGCAGACTCCTTTGCTCCTCTAACAGTTTTTGTATGCCAAAAGATTGGAAATATAGAAGCTCTTAAATTTTGAAGTGATAGTTTTAGACTATTTTTCTGTCTGCATTTTTATTCCATTTGCAGGGTAAATCATAATACCTAAAACTTATTTGCACATACAATGTTTAAAGTGCATATATGTAATACATATATTTTATGTACATATAGGTATATAAAATATATATGGTATATGCTTATGCTATACTATGTATTTACATAGTTTATGTAAGTATAAATATATAAACAGAAAAGTGTGTATATATATATAAACATTTTTGGAAATAGATTGAGAAAAAGTTAATGTCTATGTGTGCAGCAAAAAAGCCAGTCAACTCCTTAAGCAGATAATTTGTAAAGGTCCAGCATGGACTAACTTTACTCCTGTGTTAAATTTTAGACCATGTCTTCACTGTTTTTATTGTCAGCAGAGTAAGAACTCCAAATTGTTACATTCGGAAACCTTCTTGGGTGTATGGATGGATTGGAAAGGAAATTCATTTGCTGTTACGTGTTACATTTATACTAAAAGGCTTATTTGTCACAGTAAACTGAATTATGTTTTAGGCAAGGGCTCTGCATTGGAAAAAGAACTGATTGCTAATTAGCATGATTATCTTATGTTCTGTGTCACATCTCTGGGATTTGATCCTCTGTGTGAGGAGAGTAGTCATTACTATAACAATTTGTGAAAAGCTTACATGGTTGCTTCTTGTGTAGGAAGAGTTTTGAATGTAAAGATTATGCAGAGGTGGAGAGGTGACTCTTACTTGACATAGCAAGCTTTCCTTTGCAGCAGCAGAAGGTTCCTTTGTAACCTTTTTTATAAATTACAAACCCCTGAAATTCAGTTACCCCTTCCATGTAGGGACACTGCATTTATTGTGAAAAGGATTGCACAGGGTCCCTGTATTTTCTTCTACAAGTGTTTAAGGTATGAAATATAATAATGTATCTAGTCAGCTGTACTTATGTTAGGACTTGAAAGCTTCAGTTTCCTAAACATAAAAGTCAGTGGTGTAATTCTCATGAATTTGAACCCAAAGCTGCCAATATCAAGGTTAAGTAATCTGGAATAGTGGTAGCATTGATTTGACTAAATCAATCAAGTCCAGTAGAAATTACTTGTAAAATACACAAGCTCATGCATGTGTATTGTCTGTCATTCTGTATGCTTTTTTTAGTGGTTCTAAACATTAGGCTCCAATTCTACTAAAATTGCATTATTTTGGTTTTTTGGCTTTACAGCACTCTCCACATCAGAAAGAATCCTCATGTTACAGGCAGAACCACTTGGACTTTTAATCTTTTATCTGCCGAGTTTCTTGAGTTGAAGAATTCTGAGGTGCACAATTTGGAGGGAGAGTTGCTAAATTAATGAATTAGCTTTTGATGTTGCATTTATCTTTGCAGGATGAGACCAGGCTGCTACTAAAGGCAGTGTAACATGTTGGTTAGCTTGCTATGAGACTGTTTTTCTTTTCTTTTTAGTACTACTATATATATAATATAATACTACTCACAATTCATCTGTTTTTAGATGAAACTTGGGCTGCTTTGTGTAGGGAAGCAGTAATAAGCAATCTGAGTCAGAACTTGAAAAATAATGGATAAACCTAACAAGGTGGTAAAGGAAGCAAAGTGATCCTAACTTTGTTGGAAAACAAAGATGCAATTTCCAAAACTCCTCAAACTGTTGCTTTCAAACTTGGTTATACAAGTCATTGACAGTTAATATTGATCATAAGACTTGCAGCCTAATCTTCCTAACCAAAATGTATCTGGAAAAATTTATAGTTTGAAATGACATTTTCTAAAGTGTGGCAAGAAATGCTTGGATTTGGATTTGACAAGAGAGGTTTTTTTTTTACAGGATGAGATTATAAAGTTTGTTGAAATGGAAGAATGTTAAGTTGGACATTTGTAGTATACTTATCCTGAACACCACAAAACTATGTGAGCGATAAGGGCCAAGTTGTTCACAATATTTGACTGTAGAAATGTTTTTATTTATCAGTATAATTATTTACTTAAATTTCTCCCTGTGATCTTTTCTTATTACTCCACTTCTTTGGAGACTGAGGCCAGCCATCTCCAGAGGGTTACCTGGAACATAATTAGTTAATTACTTGGGTGGGGAGGAGATGTCAGCTGCAGAATTTTAGAGGCTGTCATGGCTCATGTCGTGGCTGACTGAAAACTGTCAAACCTGTTTTGTGTCCTGTTAAAGGGAGACCCAAGAACTCTGTTATTTTGTCCATGCACCTATTGTTCTGAATTCCCATCTAGATTACTTGAGCTCTTGTATTTAATTTAGTCTGTGAATTCATACAATTTGGTTGGGTAAAATACCCAGGATAAATACCCAGACAAAGACCTGGGCAGAGTCTGGGAAAAATTGTACATGATAAATAGTGCTTTACCAGCACAGCCATTTCTTAGTGAGTTTTAATTCCTACAGTAAAGGGAGTGAACTGCTGAAGTGAACATCACAGGCTTGGTATAAATTTTAAGTGTATAAATTCCCTTCTTGTTTCAGAAACATAATGTGATCTTAAGAGCACTGTATTTCAGTGCATAGTGCCTTTTTGTTTTCCAGACTTTGTATTGAATTGTTCTAAAAGATTTGGGTGAACTTCAGAAATTTGTTTTTTCTTATAGGAGTGCTTAATGCTGCCCAGGTAGCACAGACAATGTAGAAGTGCATCTGAAGTTTGAACCTAGTGCATGTTATGTTGTTACTCCTTCTACACACATACCTGCCATCAGTGTTATTAATTACTTTTGAAAAGGGGTTTTGCACCTAGAGTAGGTGACTATAATTGGAAGCTGTGGGAACAAAAGCAAACAGCAGTTTTCGCAAGATACAGGAAAGAAATATGACAGATTGCAACAAAACTCAACTGCAATTTTAACATAGGCTAAGAAAGCAGCGTATAGCAAACAGCAGTTTGTAAGGTGACTGTGTACATCAGAAACTTCAGTTTCTCTTTCACTTTCGGAGAGTAGTGCCTATCAGCATTTGAAATGGGTATCAGTTGAATTTAAGATAAAGTCCTGGAAGTAGGAGGCGTTTAAAGGCTTAGAAAAAGAGGGGGGATTCAAAGAGAGGGTAATTCTGTCTCTCCACTGGTCTTCGTGCACCTTCATTTTGAACTGATGATGATTTTTAATACTAGGGTTATTGAAATATCTATTCTAAGTGAAAACAGTTCCCTAAAAATTATTTATTTTTCTGAATAAGTCTTAATTGGAAGGTATGCTCTTCTTGGTAGCATGTGCCTAGATGTTCTTAACTTTCCATTTGCCTGCATTAATAGTATGTGTCTGCTTCTGTCAACAGTGCCAGAAGGCACGGTGTGAAGGTGTTAACAGTTTGTTTGCTGCTAAACCTGCCTTTGTGCTCCTTGCCCTGGGATCGTGCTGTTAATACCTTTTATCAGGTCATATTTCAACTGACTTGATAATTGCTCTCCTCTCTCACCCACGGACACACCGCTTTCAGCATGTCTCAGTTTGTGTTTTCATCCTTCCTTCTGTTTGTCCTAGATAAGTCCTTTCCTTTTTGCCTCATCGGTTTTTTAGCTGTCCCAGATGGGCTGACGTTCAGAGGGTGTGGCCGACAGTGTAACTGTGTTTTTTGCGCTGACAGGCGACAGAGATTCCTTGAGTGCTGCGGATATGAAAGAAGAAAGTTGCAGTACTTCAGGACATGTTATCGAGTTCTTCCACAGGGTTTTTTTCTCATTAGAGTGGAATCACGTTCCACTTTGGTCTGTTGGCAGCGTTCTCACCTTAGTTCACGGTGGAAAGGTGAAGTGAGAGAAAGCAACCCTGAACCTCCCAAGTCTGATTTAACTCTGAAATCTGTACTTTTTTAGACAAGGACTGGGTTAGATAAACTTCAGACAGTTTGATCCCAAGAATTGGGTGCTTTAGATCCCTTTTGCAAGCTGAGGTGCTACTTGAAGGCAGGTTGATAATGCCTTGCAGTACAGCTTCACAGTTGAAACTTCAGAAGAGAGCTTTAAGTAGAAAGGAATAAAAAGGAATGCAGTAAAGCTATTACAACTAATTTTAAAAAATAGAGTGGCAAATCGGAAATTAATAAGGACTTGTTCTTGTAGGCATGTAGCTTCAAGGGACTGAAAGTCCTAATTAAATAACATGTAATTGCTTTTTCACAGTACATTGTCAAAGTACTAATAAATGTTTTTAACTTTTTGCAGGTGTGTACAGAGTAATATTGTGTTGCTTACTCAAGCTTTCAGAAGGAAGTTTGTCATTCCAGATTTTATGTCATTTACTTCCCATATTGATGAGCTTTATGAAAGTGCTAAAAAACAATCTGGAGGAAAGGTAACCTCTTTATAAATTCAACTTCAAACTTCTGTAGGTTCTCAGTATTAACTAAATGCATAATTTGTTTAGTAGACAGGTTTTTCTTAACATTTTTAGCAAAATTAAACTGGTAACTTGATGAAAGAGTTTTGGAAGTTCAGTTATGCCTGCAATTTGTGAACTGTGTTAGAAATACAGTTCACAGCCTCTAAAAGTCTTGTAACATTTTGATGTTGGAATATGAAAATAGCATTATTTTTTCTTTATCTTACATAAATTGTAAAATTGCTGTGTAATTTGTCAGACTACAGTTAGGCTATAGAAAAATTATGCAGCTCTACACATCTGTCTAGATTGTGTGATTAAAGAAATTTTAATACTGCACCTTGGTTAGTAAATAAAATTTATTCTGGTGCTTATTTACAATAAATAAGTTGTAAAATCCCAGACTGTGCTATAGACAAAAAATTTTATATTATTTGAAAATGAAGGCCATGCTGTAATACAGAACACAGATACCTCTCTGAATGTGCTGAAAATTTTACTTAGAAAAAAAGTTTCATTTGATAATGATTTAGTGAATATAATAATTTAAAATCAAGTTTTAGATACAGCAGGTGATTATTTGTAGAATAAATCAGTTGTACCTTGTGTATTCTTTCCATTTATTTATAATATTATAATTACAATATTTATAATATTATAATATGATATTTATTTTAATCAACGTAGTGTTAAGTATTTTGGATATTGTAATGTGTCTCTCTTTATTTCATGCTATGATAGGTTGCTGACTATATTCCACAACTGGCCAAGTTCAGCCCTGATTTGTGGGGGGTGTCACTTTGCACCGTGGATGGACAGAGGTATATTGTAACTTCTACATTTTGTTCTTAGGATAGTTGAAGGAAAGAGAGAGGCAATGCTTCTGTAGCAATAATAATTGGAAGTTGAAAAGCTTTGTCTAACAGTACCTGTGCATCATGCTGTATGTGTAACTTTCTGTGTAGGTCACAATGTACTTAAGTGTTAGCTCCTTCTCTGCATTTTAATGTTTTCACTGTAACATTCTTATATAATCTATGTGTCAGTGAAAAAATGCAGATTCATGTTATTTAGAAAGAAAATGAAGGTGTGGGAACTGGACAGAGCTGAATACGATTTTGCTTTTCAGGTTTATCAAGCTTTCCCCTGTAAGGGTGTATGTAGGTCTTAGATCTAGTCAGAGTGATTTTATTTTTCTGTGTTAGTAACTCAGAGTAGCAGAGACAGTTAGGAGCCTAGATGTAAGGGGATACCTTGCACCATCTAGTTGAGAAGTAACATGAGCTCTGTGTCTCCCTTTGTGAGTACACAATGCAAGGTGCTCACCAGCTCTGCTGACCTGCAGGTTGCTGTGGTCCTACTGCAGGTTCTGGAAACAGCAATTTTTAGGTGTTGTATTTGTGAATGGTGCATTCCTGAGGGTATCAGAGTTGCTTCTGGTGGCTGTGGCTTGGTGTTCATTTTGCCATGATCTGTTTAGATCTGTATGTTTGCTTCTAATTAACCATATGTTCTGTAATCTCTGTGAGAGGAGCTGTACAAGTGAGCAGAAGTATTTTTCTATTAATAGTAAAAAACCTTATATTTAAATTGGCATTTTGCTTTGTTTTGGATATTATGTGCTAATGAAAGTTCTTATAATGTTAATTTTTGTGATGCTTAATTTTGTGTAATGTTAGCTTTTATAATGCCAAAATGGTATTGTGATTTTCACTGAAGCCTTCTTGTGTTTTCTGCAAAGAACAGAAGCAAATACACTCCTGATTTTGCCATCAGACAAGTGGCTACTTCAAGCCTTTTGGTCTCTCTAGATGTGGCATATGCTGCTTGCATGAGTCACTCTTTGGTGCAGTCTGACATAGATGTTGAAAGTAAACTTTCCAAAAGATAGCATGTAATAATAAATGCTATATCTTTGCAGTTATTAAAGGAAATGTAAATACGGCCATTTGATTATTATTCTCAAATTGCAAAACCAAGCTGTAGCTCATCTTTGTTTATACAGACATAAATCAGTATAGTGGCTCTGTTTGGGTCAGCTGTACCCTGCCGAGTGTGTAGTTTGCTATTGAGTAGGATAAGTGTAAGACTAAAGCTTTGAGGTGATTTTTTGCTCTGGTACAAATGCATTTCTGAACTTGTTTTTATTTTGTTACCTCTGCAGTAGTCAGCAACTGACTTTGTTATACTTGGCTTAGGGAGTCAGTTCCTAAAACCTCTAAATCTCATGGTTATGTTCTTTAAAATGAGACTCAGTAATAATACGCTTTTGCTTTTTGGGGCGTTTTTGTTCGTAGTCCTTGTGTGTTGAAGGATAGATGAAGCATTTAACACTACTGCCACAGCTGACAAACAGGAAATCTGAAGCTTCTTCATCTTTGTTTTTCCTAGGCATTCTGTGGGTGATACCAAAGTTCCATTTTGTCTCCAGTCCTGCGTAAAGCCTTTGAAATACGCGATTGCTGTCAATGATCTTGGCACAGAGTATGTGCACAGATATGTTGGTAAAGAGCCTAGTGGATTAAGATTCAACAAATTGTTCCTGAATGAAGATGGTAAGAGATACATTATACTTAAAAATGCAAATACTCAGGTTTAGAAAATTATGAGGCAAGCCTACACGTTTTTTTCAGTCTTTTTGATTTTACTGTATCTTCTTAAGTCTGATTACTAGGCAGTGTCCTAGAATATTTTGCTGTCAGCAAGGTACACTTGGTCTTTGTTAGTCACTTTAGCCTAATTTAGAATGCAGTGAAAGATGTTTTATTGCTTCTGTTCTATTTGCTAGTTACTAAGCTGTAGGAAAACCTAAAGAGTTCTAACAGTGCAGGCATTTGAAATTTATTTTTATTTGGTTGAGTTGGTAGCAAGAGTTCGTTAATCTAGGCTTCTGTAAAATGGTGGTGAAAGAATCAAAGATGTTAAATTGATTTAAAAAAACATATAACTTCTCAGCCTTCTGAGAAGCAGGTGCTGGTGCCAAAGGCCAGCAGTGACTAGTTTCCAGAAGGCGAAATCTTCCCACAGTTTATTCTAAGTGGAATTTGGCTACTGATTCAAAACAATGTTTTTATTTTTTTTTTCCCTGTGGCAGGATTATTTTAGCAAGGATTTCTCCTACAGCACTTACCTAGATTATTTTTTCATAATGTATTAATTCTTAAGAATGGAAATGTTTTTGGTTTTTTTTTTTCCTTAAGTTTTATGGCAAAAATCTGAGAAAGATGACTCATATAGCCTTAGAGGAAATACTGGATGTTATCTCTGAAACACAAATGTTTCTTGTGGATCTATCTCAGTAAAAGAACAGACAATGTTTCCGTTGCCATGGTGTTGCAATTAATATTTAATTACCAGCATAAGGCTTGGATGGCATTTTTGTCAAGGACTGTATTGAATTCTGACTTAAATATCTGTAGTATTAATATATTAATGATACCTAATTATTATGTTTTAAATACATGCAAATGATTTATATAAAATTTATTTATTTATACCTTAAAATCCTCTTTCCATACTTAGAAATAAAATATATCTTTGCAATTTATTTCTTCTCTTTTATTATGTTAGTAAATTGTGATGAAATACCAATGTAGGAAGACATTGCCAAGAAAGGATTAAGCATTTTGTCAAGTTATGCTGTCTTGTTTTTGCTTTCTTAGTTTTTTTAAATACAGTGTTGTACAGTATGAAGACTTGTCTTTTATATCCTACAAAAACTTTACTATAAAAAAAGCTTTGATGGTGCTGAAAATTGCCCCTTAATTGATTTGAACTAATATACATGTTCTGTATTTTCTCTTTTTAATAACATGACAAAGTGTAGTAATTATTTCCTTACTTTATTGCTTCTTTTAAAATTGAACTATAGGGGAAGATGAATTGGTGGCTGTGGTCTTTTACATTACTGTTAAAATTCAAGAGTGTTTATAAGGCTGCTATGTATAAGAGAAATTGGACAATTGAAATTTTGACCAATGAACATGAAATTAATAGAGAAGACTTAATTCACATGATGGAAAGTTTAATTTTTAAGTATGTACTTCTGTGGCTGGTAGACATGAGTAAAAAAGTTCTGGAACTGACCTGGATGGCCTCTTATACAGTCCTTAAGAAAAGACTAAAACAGAAAGTAGAAGTCTAATAAATAGGAACATTTCAGTATTAGTGAGAGAAAGGTAGGTTGAGTTTCTCCAAGTAAAGGAAGAGGAGGGAAGAGAAGGATTTGAAAGATTAAATCTACACTTTGCTTGTAGATTTAAACCACTGTATGAACTTCAGATATGCAGAGTATTTGTCAATTTGAACATCTATAAATACTTTGAAGACCAGATTTGAAAATTTAAAAAAAATAGATATTTAATGTATTTACTTCCTAAATATTCAGACATAGTTAAATTTTATGTTCATAATCCAGATTTCATGAGATGATACGCAGGTGTTTGAAAACTGTTTAGACATGCATCTGAAGGTATTTTTTCTATACTGACTATTTGGAAGATTCCTAAAACAGGATATTCCTGCATTTCATTGTTTACTAGTATTGAGATTCAAGCTGGAAAGAATGACAAATATTTTAGGAAAATGTTAAATAAAGACAATATTAGCTAAATTTTAAGACAATTTTAGCTAAAAATGTCAACTTATAACAAAAGCTGTTGCTGTGCTTTGAGTATGATCTGTGCTGTGCAATGGAAATTTGGAAACTTCTGTGGGCTTATGAATATTGACTTCTAAAACTTGTTTTATCAAAGGGAATATATTGCCCAATCCAGTTGAGATTTCTGGAGGAATAAAACAAATTCTGTGCTAATCTAAAAAAATATTATTCTAGTTGATTGAGGTAGATCAGAAACTTTCCATAGTAAAGTATGTCTGAAACAGGCATTATCAGGAATAATATTCCTGGCAATGGTCATTAAACAACTACAGGCTTTTTCATGTCTGTTGAGTTCATGATGCAACAAGTCTAACAATACCTATATTTATGAACAGTTAGTATCTCTTACCCATACATACAACCTCCTGGTGATAATTGTTTGTAGAATTTGTCCAGCAATGCAATCCTTTGAGGAACTTAGTCCAGTAATAAAAGTTGTATTGTAATTCAATGGGGGACTGCCAGGAAATTGTTTATTTTGCTTATATTTCAATGTTTTTAATGATAAAAACATGAACTTACTTGCATGTATAATGAAATCATACAGCAATACATGTGACTTGCAGAGAAACTGTGTAAAAGATACTTTTTTTTTGTCAGTGTGAGCAGATCACTGCCTTTATTATTTGATTATAAAGTGCACATGTGTTTGGTTTCAGTAATGTTTGTCACTTAGGTTTGCACAGTTTGATACCTCTTTCTAAAATTAAGTGATATTTCTTCACCTCTTAGGCAAACTTGCAGTTGCAGTTATCAGTCTTCATGCTTAGTTGTTGTACAAGGTGGAATCCCTTTGCTGATGGCACCCACTGAGGTAGATCAGTAGTGACTGCTGCTTTAGAAATAGATCTGTACATGAATTTCTTTAAAAATTAATGTAGTGTCAGAACCTGTACATCCCCCAGAGGCAAAAAAACTACCTGGGAATGGAAGGCATCTCTTCTTTAAAATCTGCAGAAATCTCTCAGAATGCAAGTTTTTATTTAGGCAACCTAGCCCTTAAAAGGGCTATAGCTTAAGTTTGAGGAGAGGTTCTCCATTGCAGAATGAAGTATTTTGGTTGGAAGGGACCTGCAACATCATCTATTAAAAGCATTGTCCAAATGCCTCTTAAACACTGACAGGCTTGGGGATGGAGCACCTCTAGGAAGCTTGTAGCTGTTTTTGGCAAGATAGAAAGTTGTCTGTCTGTTGTGTATGGGAAGGTATTCCCTGGTGCTGTGCAGATAATGGTGAAAACTGCATACCTGGGAGCTGGATACCCTGGCAGGGTTTGCTCTGCCGAGAAGAGGCAGCAGTGGGTTGGTTAATGGCAGGTGTCCTGCTCAGTACTGTGGCATGCTGGAGTTGGCAGCAGTAGGACAGAACCTCAGAGGACAGCTGTTGGTGTGTGCTGAACCAGGCTGCTGTACCCTGCCTTGGCTGGTAAGGGTCCCACAGTGATGTTCTTCCTGCCCTATCGTGTGGGGAAAAGCACACAACTGCGTTTCACATGCACATTCAAAAAGTCCTTGTTTTGTTTCATCAGGAGCTTCTCCCCTTCTTCATGTGTGGGCAGCACATGGAAATGTGTTAGTTGTAAAGTGGCCAGAACAAGTACAAGTAGCTTGGGATGTTAGGCAGTCAGATACAGGAATTTTGAGAGTAGAGGCACCAGGAATGCTTTGACTTTGAAGGTAAGTGGTGACATCTTCAAAGAAATGAGAAGCAATAGCATTTTGGAGGGTATATTCTGTGTGGGCATATCACATTAGTAAGCCTTTCAGTTGCTGTATGCTAAATAAACATTGCACAAAATTTTTACTCAAATGTACATGTGGTATGGAATCTGGTTGTTTTTTTTGTTTGTACCATGTGGCAGATTGAAACTACAGAGATGCACATAAGAATCAAGAGCAAAATATTTATAAAAATATTTTTAGAATGGGCTGCGTGTGATAAATTCATGAGTGTTTTTATGGACTGGAGTGATACCTTATGTTGGTGAGAGGAAGCTGTAAAGAAGAGAAGCATAGCTAGAGTGAGCAATAAGGCTGATCGTGCATGAGAGCGCTCTGTTGTCCTGGTCTGTGTGTCCAGAGTTGGGATCCCCAGCTCAAGGAGTGAAAAACTGGGGAGGGCTGCAGTGCAGGGCTAGCAGGGTTCTGTGCAGCCCAGGGCACACATAACTCCCAAGGAGCAGCTGGAGGGGGGAGCCTAGGGCTTCCCTGGAAACCTCTTCAAATTCTTGAAGAGCAATTGCCAACATTAAGAGTTCTGTTGTAACTCTTCTTGGTAGTGGCACCTGGTGCAACAAGGGTCAGTGGCCTCATGCTGTGGTTTGGGAGCTGCAGATTAGATATCGGGGTAAATTTGTCATCTAGCATGAAAAAGATTGCTGGAGAGGGAGGGGATTTGCCACGTTCAGAAGTTTTCAAGACTCAGTTAATGAAACTGTGGCAAGAGCCTTGCTTTGAGTGGGAGGGTGGATGAGATGAACCTCGAGATGTCTCTTCTAACCCACAGGCTGTGATGCTGTGAGTGGTCATTTGACTTGTGTTCAGGTTTGTGGTCCCTGAGGAGCTATAGAAATGCTATTTTTTCTTATCCAAGATCTGGTGTTGAGAGTTAAATACATTTGGCCCTCATTGCTTGTATTAATAGATAACAACAGGATATTTGATATATGTGACTCCTAAGTACAAGCAAATGAAATCTGAACAATTTGTGAGACCCTTCCAGAGAGAAAAGGAATAGTAGTAACAACTTTAAAATATTATCTGGCAATAAGTTTGTATTTTGGGGGAGCTTCATTTTTTGTAAGTTAACGGCCTTATTTTTCTACTAATAGAAGGATTTAATTTATTTAAAAGTTCCTTTAAATACTGACTTTCTGAAAAATATTCATAAAACTTAGGTTAGTTTTTGAAGATTAACTGATAGTCATAGGTGGCTAAGTGCCATTGACCACAACCAGTGTAATTTTCATGGGAATATATGTGCATGCTGTAAATACCAGACTCATCTCCAAAACCCAAGCAATCTCAAACTTCTTCTAGAGTCCTTGTTTGTACATCACACATAAAAATAGTGGACTCTTTTTGTGCAGTTTTTAAATCAGTATTTTTTCAGATTTGGAGGTAAAGGGACAGCAAATAAAGAATTCAAACCTTTCATGATATTAATGTATTGAGATTTTTTGAGGTTTTCAGATACCAGAGTGCTCAGAAGTCAACATCCTAGTTAAAAGGCACATCAAAAATGTTAGTTGTAAAAGAAGAGGGTTATTTGTGGAAGGTAGATTATTTGGGAAAAGTAAGATGGCTGATGAGAGTCTTTTTAGAAAAAGGAGATGCAAAAGAAGGTGATTTATTCAGCAGCCAAGAATGACTTGGGAATGTAAAGATACTGTTAATATAGAGATCAGTGGGGAAAAGGAAAATGTAAGTGTAGCAGGTATGTGCAAGTCAGGTATGAAGTAAGTTAAATTCTTAAATAAAGAGGATTTGTAATTTTCAGGAAAAGAAATGATACCAAGCCAAATAATTTACTGGATTGTTAAGTAGCATAAGTGGGCTGAGTGTGTTGTAAGCTGTAAAATATTGTGCTCAGAATTATAGAATATTGTGTATAGTGTTGGGTTACAGTGTTTTTAAAATGTTTAAGATGATCTAATTGCTATTCTGTAATAGTAGCTTTTCAATCTTAAAACTTCATACTTACTTAAATCTAGAATAATTTTTCACTTAGGCACTTGACTGGTTTTGTCTAACAGACATGTCTTGGAATATATTTGTAATTGAAAACTTTATTTCACAGACAGGCCTCATAACCCTATGGTGAATGCTGGAGCAATTGTGATCACATCTTTAATCAAGGTAAAAAGTTAATTTTTAGTTTCTCTCTGAGTATTTTAGTAGAATGTAGAAAAAATTTGATGTGCAGATTATAAACTGTATTAGATTTTTTTTTCTGCAATATTTGACAGCACTTTACTCATTTGCAGGTAGACAAGTTCTGATATTTTGGGAATTGTAACCCTTCCAAACGAATACAGTGTTAAAATTGCAGTTTATAACAAGTATCAGTGCATCTGAAGGACTCTTTTTCCTTGATGGTATTAGATTTGTTTCCTTCTTGATCTGCACAACACTTGATATTCTCTTCAGAGTGTTGCCTTCCACTTGTTAATTGCTGAGGAAGTATATTTGTCAGGAATGTACTTTATAGCACTCAGAAGTACATTTCTGAGTGTCTAAATGCTCTTAAAGAGCATAAAGTTACAGGAATATTACTTCCAGTGCAGAAGAAATGGAAGATACTATAATTTAATAGTAATATTAAATATTACAGTAACAGGAGCAATGCTGCTATTCTGAATGTCAGTCTTGTGTTGAATTTGTGTGCTATTAACATCCTGCACCACTAAATTATGTTGAGCTTCTATGGTACATAGTTGCTGTTGGGACATAAGTGTACTTTCATAGACAAGAGTGTTTGAAAACAGTTACTTATTTTGCCAAGCACACCAGGTCTGAATGACTTTACATCTTTAGACCATGATCTTGAGACTTTTGGAAAGCTGTATTTTATTTTTTTTTAAGAACAGCTGTATAAATGTCTTGAAGTTGTTAATGGTATAAACTCCTTGTAACATTAATGCTTGCCAGATACTTGACTTGTATTTTCTGCTGGTTTTAGTAGCCAGAGGTACAAAAAGAATTTTTTTTCCCTAAGGGTACCTGCATAGAGTTCTGGGGAACATATCAATCCCGTGGAATTTTTGAGTTGTAAACTTGTTACTGTTACTTCAGAGGTCTAAATGTCTTGTTTACTACCTGTTTCTTGGTTACATTTCAAAGTCCATTAGCTACAGTGTGTTTCCTACCCCCTGTTTCCAAAACGTTGATTTTAAAATTACTTAGATCATGATTTTCTGTTATTTTATATTTAAAGAAGGTGTAAGAACTCCTGCTTAAAGACATTTGTCTTTGATAGCTGTAGGTGAAAGAAAATGGCCTTAAGTATGACAGGTAAATTTATTCACATTTAATGTTTTTAAAAGGTTGACTGAGCATTGAAATTCACTTGGATAATAGTGAATTTTAAAATCTGACTTAACACATTTGTTTGAAATGTTAAAATGTTAGTCCAACTACAACATGCCCTATGATCTTAAGGCAAAACAAAAGCATGTGCCTCTTGCAGAAGGCACGTAGTTCTTGATAAATGGTGTACTTCTGAATAGATAACATGGATTTGTTTAATGCATGCAACTGTGGTATTTGTTAGAAGGATTGGGGATTGGTTTTGCTGGGTTGCTTTTTTTTAAACTTTTATTTGGGTTTTTTCTGTAATGTTTTTATAGAAGGTATTGCATTGCACTAACATTTCTGCATGTGGTAACTGCACGTCTAGTGGACACTTATCTTACTTATCACACCATTATTTGTTTTCAGTGTGATTAAAATGTAGATTTTCTGTACTGCTTTCATTAAGATACCATTTATCATTTGAATTACTAACCAAGCTAAATATATGCTGAAGACAATTGTATAGAGGGTCACAGGTACAAAACTACTTAGTAGTTGTAATTTTTGTGGAGTAACTTCTTTACAATCTGCAGTTTAACATTATTCCTACTAATCAATGAATTGCATAGTTCACATTTGTATTTGATCTAATATCAAATTTACCTTTTTCTCTGAAAAAGGTGGCTTCATTAACTCATGTTTTTCCCTCAATTCTTCTGCATTTATTAATTTTATTTAAGATGTTACTTACATGTCTTGAAGGCAGTGTATGGCTTTTTAAGGACAAGAAAATTTAAATTCACCATGTATTGCAGATTTATCTAACGACAGCATGTTAATAACTACAGAGAGATTGTTGCTGTATTTCATAGTTAAGAATGCTTTTATCTCCTCTGAGATTCATTATCTCTCTCTGAGAAATGGATCGAAGAACTCTTTCAGTGTTCCCATACTTTGTACTGAGTTGAGCAGCTGTTAGTAAATGTGATACTGCACCCAGCTGTCCTTGGAGCCTGGCACAGATTAGGATTGTGGATGAGGGATGATGCCTGGAGTAATCTCTATCAGGATATATTAACATGTAATACCTTAACATTTTAGGGGTAAAAAAGACTCTTAGCATCACATACCCTGTTCTGAATGCTGTCAGAATTTGATGTTCCTGCCTTGGAACAGATCAGGGACCTAAACTCTAATCTTATATTGTCTTTGCAATCCATAATAATAAATAATGAGGGGTATGTGCATCTTAAGTTACTAAGACATGGCTGTATCCTGCTCCTGCCATTTTAAGTGATTTTCCAACTGCCTTGTGTTTGGAACTACAGTGTATTTACATTTTGGTGTCTTAACCCCTGGCCCTGTTCTAATTGTACTTGCATTACACTCCACGACTGTTCCAGCAGTTTAAAACATGTCTACAATAAAAATGTTTTAGCAAAAGGACATCCTACAGGTCACTTTTAATGAAATAAAGTTTTAAAAAAACCCTCTGAGGACCTTTTCCCTTGTTGATAATTGTACAGCCATTTGCCTGTATTAGTAGTTATATAAATGACATAGTTACAATTTTCAAATAATTCTATCAAAAGAAATTTGTAGTGGCAATTACAGGACTTTATGAAAAATGGGTATGAGATAAAACAGTAATTTTTATCATGTCTCCAAGGAGATACAGGTGCTTGAAAGAAAGTGATTCAACTCCTGTATGGATTTAGTACAGATCCAGTGCAGCTTTCTGTACATCACATTGGCTGGGAAAAGGTTTTATTGCCTGTAGTATGGATAGCTTTTACTCCTTTGATCTATTAAGTTTTCTTAAACCTTAAACTCAATTCTCAAAGCTTGTCAGCTCCAGGAATATCAGTGGTTTTGTCAGGGACTTCCCACTTCCACATTACCCTTATTGTCACATTAGAAATGCAGGTGAGAGGAAGAGGAAGGGTTCAAAGAGAAATATGTGGAAGAAGGCAGATGGCTGTGGGTGGAATCACCAGAGGGATTAATCTTGAGTAATTTTTATTGTATGCTTTAACATTCCATCTGTAGGTAAAAGTCTTCATAACCTAACAGCAAAGGGTCAGGCAAATACAGCATCTTTAGACTTTCTAAGTGCTGCCAGCCACATGCAGACAGTGTGGACTGGAATGCTCATTGATGGCAGTGTGCTGTGGTCTTGAATTAGACATGTTGGAAATAGCAAAATTCATAGTTGTTGCAAAAAAAAAAAAGTGTACAAGAAAATGAAAATGCTGATCTTTCTGACCCTAAAAAAACTTTAGTTCAATGGAAGATTATTTTATTTTATATAAAACATGGAGAGGGTTGTGATATATTTAAGAACTTTCTAAATATGTTGATAAATCACAAAGTAAATGAGGCAAAGAGTGGCAAAAATACATGTCTAGCTGTGTGAAGGGTCTGTTTGCTGTCAGGATTCTGTTATTAGGAAACCTGTTCAGTTGCAGTTCAATACTTGAGAGCTGGGAAAATGCATGGTTTATTTGACAATACAGTTACAATGAATAGTACTGATCTAGCTTAATTGCTCTATGCTGTCAGTGGAGTTATCCTTCCTGACAGACTGATGTGTAAATGTGCATACAAACCACTTTACAATGTGTTGGTGTTGTGATCTTCTCTGCCAGATACTTGTCATTACTTTGATGACATTGCCTCTCTTCCTAGATTACTAATTTTCTTATGGTAACTAATTTGGGATATATCCATATTTTCTTCACTTTTTTAATAAAACTCGGGTATATTGGATGTTATCTGACATAGAATATGTAGTAGGTTCTGTGAAATAATATGTGTTAAGTGGTCACACATGCACAGAAGTGAAGGACAGAAAAAAAAAATCTTACAGGTGTTTGAACTTTTGATAGTGTTGGTCTTAGGTCAAATACAGTCTGTCACAGTGTACTTGCAAGTATTTCAGAGCTGAAAATGGCACACTAAACTGTGAAAACACCAGTTCTCACACAACAGGACCATCTTAACAAATAAAATATAAAAAGAATCTATGTAGAGAAAGCGAAAATAAAGACATTAGTAGTTAACTTCATGAAAAATGCAGACATGTTAAAGTTTTCTTGCACTCTGATACAGAATTATATTTTTTTTGTTTCTGGATATTTTCATCACAATATAGTGTTAGATTATAAATTTACCTTTAAATATTCTAGAAATTAATTATTAAATAATGTGTTATTAAAAGATTACAAACTTGTCATGATGCAGGTGTTTTTATTAGCTTTGCTTTGGTTCAAAATTGAGAAATTGTTTTAGTGAGAGACACGTGGTAAGAGCTTATATGGTCTAATTATAGAAACAGTGTTCAATGAAAAGTGGGTTATATTATCTGCTTTTCTAATAAATTTTGCCGTTGCAAGCTCTGGTAAGTATTCCTGTGTAGGCATGTAGCTTTTGAAACTGTTTATATGTTTTAGTAGAAATACAAGTAATACAGTACAAGTACATTGTTAAAAAAAAAAAAAAAAAATTAAAAAAAAAAAAGGGAAGATAACTAAAACCTGACACAATCAAAAAATTCAAATTTTTGATTGACAGCCACAGTGCCCGTTGGGGTTTTAAGTGTTTACAAAATGATACTGAGCTGTCTTCTGCAAGTTTGAATTTTCTGCCTATCAAACTTCTTCAGTCTTAATATTATAAATTTTATTTTGTGTTCATTTAGAAGTGTTTCTTCATACGCATATACACACAAGCATGTATAAGTGTGTATATGAACATGTTCCCATAAATGTACAAAGTGTTTGTGGAGTTTAGTGCATGAAATGTTTTCTTTGATGTTCTAGACAGGTTGAATTGCATCTGAACTTTAAAAATGCTATTTAAGAAATGTTGTGCCCCCAAACCCATAGGTTTATACAGTCAAGCTAAAAATAAGAAGCGCTTGAGGAAGAACAGAAGTTTTCTTGTCCCTTATATTTGTTTAAATTATTCTGGAAAACTGCTCAATACTCTGAATGTTAGGATTTTATATTTGCAATTGAATTTTAATCATAGAATGTGTGTTGCCACTGTGTCTCTCCAGCTTTTTAGGAGGAGCAAGACACCTCTGTCAGCTGCTGAAAGAAGGGAACTAATCTGTTGGGGTTTTTAGTCATCATGTGTATGGAAGCAGAGTTTCTTATTTCAGTAACACATTGTAGTAAATCCCTGCTGAGGTCTTGATCTTGTGATTGCTTAAGCAAGTGGTTCAGGTGTACGAGCAGTCTGGTTTCAGCAACAATGCTTTGTGTGTGATATGAAATACCTCTACAAGAGTGTGGAACATCAAGGACTAAAAGCTCATCATCTGGTTTCGGACGCAAAAGATTTTCTTCCCAAAATATGATTTTAGTTGTGAACTTTAAAAGGAACCTTTTTTGTAAGAAGTTGATGTGGAAAAAGTTTGCATTGAGTCTTTTGCCCACCAGTTTTATGTGCTACTGGTAAAACCATGTTTTTGTTGAGGGAATATTTTTTTCCACTGGGCAGAAAAAAAAGTGAAGTGTTATGTATTTATATTTTTGCAGAAAGCATGATCCCTTTCTCCCTCTTTTCTTTTTTTTTTTTAACAAAAGAAGCTGTTTCAATTTATTATACATGTCTAACCATACAATTATCAATGCAGCATCCCATAACTAATGCTGACCCACTTTCCCAGAAAAAGATGTTCATTGTGCATTTGAAAGGTTAAAAAGGTTTTTGTGGTTTAAATGTTGTTACATATTTTACAGCATTAGGATCTATGGAATATTTTGACAACTGCAACAGTTCAATGAAGTTGGTAATTTCTTCTTTTAATTATTTTTCATTGAACAGATTTGGAGTTAAATTTTTAAGATTTGTGTTCTGGTATATTATACAGGAACATTTTGATGAAATGTATCATGCATTTTTTTATCTAATTGAAAATGAGCTAGAGTTTATTGCCTTTAAGAATAAGGTTATTAGCCTTTAAACATAAGGTAACCACTGGCGCATAATTCTGAGAGAACAGTGTGGTATTCCTTTCACCAGTGATTGTACGTGTGTGTCTGCACATCCTCTTGTAGATGAGCTGAAGCATGGGCTTCCAAGATTATCTGCAACACCCTAATCCACATACAGAGTGGGAAATGAGACTGGCTTTATGCATTTCATTAAGTAAAATACTGGTTGATGTAAAGCTTCCGTTTTTTCCACTTTCTTCCCCATCCCCACACTAAACACAACACAAGTAGCGTCTTGAATTGTTTGAGATTGTTAGTCTTGTTACTCTATTTAGAGTGTCTTTAATATTAAAATTTGGTATTAAAACATCTTCTCCAGATACATTGTTTCCACTTGTGTATGCAATGCCATTGGTTTTTAAACTTTCTCCTAAAATTCTGCTTTGGCTACTTAAAAATTTAAAACTCCCCCCAGTGGACCATGAGCTATTTTTTACCTCCCACTCCTCTTTGCATCTCTTGCGATCAGAATTTCTGAAAGGTCACCTATCAGAGACCTCTAAGAAAGTAACGTCTTTAACTGACAGCTACTAAATTTGAGAATGTTCTTGAATGAGGGAGGGAAAAAAAAATCCTCAAAATAACAATCCTCATCCTCCCTGAGAAACCCAAACCAAGCCCACCCTAAGAATTAAGTTCCACTATCATTCTTACTAAGTTGGATTTAGGTTTTCCTGTACATTATTAGCACAATGATGTGCCCTATGATGTGAAATTCTATTTTTCTAGCTGTTTAACAATTTTTAACAGGTAGGACATTAATCAGATATTTTTTTAATTAACTGCAGTTATTTTCATAGTTAGGGGTAGCACTTCATTTTAAGTCTTCAGTCTAAATTCTTGGTATGGGCACTGGCCATGGAAATAGTTTAATTTAAGTAGCCTGCACCTCCCTATGCTCAGCTCTGTTGGTAATATGAGAATACCTTTGCCTTACTAATCTGTAAAAAGTTAGTGTGTTTACTGTAATTATCTTGTTTGTAGTTACTTTTGGTTTTTTTTTTTGCTTTAGCTTACTGTGTTTACTTATGCTAAGCATGTAAAGTCGAATAGAGCGCAGTTAAAATAAAGCATATCTTTTTCAATTAAAATTAATCTCCAGCATACAGGTGTTTAAGATGCATAGGATTATTTAAATGATAATTAAAGATTTACTTATCTAACATTTAAGTTTTTTCATTAATATATGAAGTGATTGTAGTACCTTATTCTTAATTAGACTCATACCTTAGTTACGTACATTAAAATCCTAATATTGTTAAGTGAACTAACTTTGTTGCTTTGTTAACAATTTTTGTAAATTATTTTTTCTTTTCTTGCAGCAAGGAGCAAATAATGCAGAAAAATTTGACTACGTAAGTTAACATTATAACTTCTCTTTTTAAACTAACTTCAGTGGTAAAAGTTTCAAGATGGCAAGGGAATGGAAAGTGAAATCTTAGTAGTAACATGGGTTTTGTCTTTGTAGATGTACTTGGTTGTTTAAACACTTAGTGATTTGTATTGCATTTATGAAATGGTGTTGTAAAATTTAGGGTAAAGCTGGGTTGGAAGTTCATAACCTTTTTATGTGTAAAAATATTGCTTTTCCTTGTCTTTGTCTCTGACAGGTGATGCAGTTCATGAATAAAATGGCTGGTAATGAGTATGTTGGATTCAGTAATGCTACGTAAGTATTTTTTATTCACTTAATAAGGTTAGTTGGAAAGTGTTTCAACTGATAACTGGTATTTTGAGCTTATGACAAAGTTCAGTTATTTACATTTCAGCTGGCATTTCATCCCTTATATTGGAGGGTGTCTTTCACTTAACAATTTACAGCTAAAGTTGTGCATGTCTCTGACATTCGTGTGGCTAAATTCCACATAAAAGTGTTGGTTACCTCTTTGAAAATGTCATTATTCTGTCTTAGTGCTCTGTTGGTGCTATGGCAATGAGAGCTGTAAGTGCAACTCTTCTCTTCCTGGCATTGATATTAAAAATTAAACTCTGCATGTTGGTATTTGCATAGCAAATATTTAGAAAACATAGTTCATAAAACTGGGACTCCTCCTGCTTTTTTATTTTGCATATTTAAATTATTTTCTCAAACAAACAGTTCCCTCATACACTCAGTGTATAGCATTTCAAAATTCTTGAGAGCTTTTTCAGGCAGCATGGGGTAAATCATGTAGATTCACTTTAGCAGAGTTCCTTCTAGGTTGCCAGGTGCAAGGTACATGCAGAGGTGTTTTTCCTGAGCTCTGTTACAGTAAAAGGTGTGTACTGTAGAAGGAGCCAGGCAGGTGTTCCTCCTTTAGGTTCCATCCTTACCTCAATCATCCCAGTGAGGAGTGCAGCCATTTGTCTGGCCTGCTGTGTGATCCTCGCGTTCCTCTCCTTTGGGCAGGGAATAATGACCCTTTCACTGTCCCAATGTGAGAGCTCCATTCCACTCTGGCCTATTTAGAAATGTTTCCAAGATTAGGATTTTACCTTCCTTTGCCTTCTCTCCAAGTCAGCTTGTATTGTGTAGGTAACCAATAGTGTGTGTATTTGGATGTCAGTGCTGATTCACTCCAACTGAGTGAACTGTGATAAACTGCTGTGGCCACTTCTGTCCCGTTAGTAGAATATTTGTGTTTAGAAGTGATGTATCCTTTACATGGAATTTTACTGAATTACATTATACATCTTGAGTTCAGTGATTTTTGGGGGTTTTCTGCAAAGTTTGACATGTTGCCTTGTCTCTTTTTCTTTTTTTCTCTTTTAGGTTCCAGTCTGAAAGAGAGAGTGGAGATAGAAACTTTGCAATTGGCTATTACTTAAAAGAGAAAAAGGTTAATCTATTTTTTTCTTAGGTGTATTTTGAAGATGATGTGCTAGGTTTTATTTATAGTCTGTGAAGACTTTTATTTTATGTACAGTTTGGCACAAATTCATACTGGATATGTCTTACCAGTGTTATTCAAATGCTGTAATTTAAAAAGTGTGGTATTTATACCATTCTAATAAATTACCTCTAAATATTTTTCTGTAACATAGCCATGGTAATTAGTTTTATTTGTTGTAATCTGTGCTATAGAGGTGACTTTATAAAACTCCTGAATGCATGTTTCTGTTTGCTTAAAGATGTTCAAAACTATATTGGAAAATATTTTAGTACCTAGTTTATTGATACTGCTGCACTATGTTGTTTTTAAATCTGATGTCATTAAGTATTTCTACTTACTACATTTAAATGTTTATATTAAAATATGCCTAATGCTTAGTATGCTGGCAACAGCATAGCTAAAGTTACGTCTTTCTAAAGCAATACTTTAAAAAAAATCTAAAGAGACTATTTTTCTTCTTCAGTGCTTTCCTGAAGGCACGGATATGGTTGCTATACTAGACTTCTATTTTCAGGTAACTGACTTTAAAACTGAGACTCACCATAGGCTTAGAATTACTATTATAAACAGTAGAAGCTGATTTGTGCCTAGACATGGAGGCTTTAATGACTTGCAGTTAAATGTCAGCTTCTGTTTAACTCTGGAAATGACAGATGTATGTTTGATGTATCCAGATTTGCTTTTGTTTAGGTGATCTACTTAGGTGTCTTTGTTGCTAATACAAACTACACAAGCAATAATCTTTAAACCACTAGAAGCTAAAAGCTTGAAATGACTTGCATTGCTTCAGTGAGTTTGACAAAACACTTTGGGTTGCTGCTTTTGTGGTGCTGTGGAGTAGTTTAACCTCTGTAAGTGGAGAATGCATGCTGAGCTGTGGGCTTGAGGGAAGTGCTACAAGGGAAGTAATGGGAATATCTCCTCCTTTTGGTTTAATTCAGTGCTTTTGAGTAAGAATATATATTATTTTCCTCCCCCTGCCTTTTTTTTTTTTCCTTTTCACTTTCAGCAAGTTATTTACAACTGTCACAAAATGAGAACTCGGCAAGTGTGAGGTGTATTTCCTCAGTAAGGGTTTCCTAATGTTTAAATGTTCACAACTCAGCCCTGCTGTGTAGAGTTCTCAAGAGGCAGTTCAAGTTGTATTACTGATTCACTTCATCTGGGAGAGTTTAAAAAAAGAAATACAGAGTTCTCAAAATCTACTTTTGACTTGGAGACTTGCTAATACAAGTTACTTATGCAAATTATATGCCATTATTTTCAAAATGCAAATGTTATTTGTGTTTTTTTTTGTGTGGGGATGCACCTGCTCTCTTACATTTAGATTGGATGAGTGTTTATGAAGTAAGGTATATGTGATCATCTGTAGTTGACCTCTTGTTGAGTTAGAAACTAGGTACAAGCTAATAGTCTATTCTGAACTTGTGATAGAAGAGAATGTGTAATTTGTATGAATTTACTGTGTAAAAATGCTTTTTAAATGCCTTGTATCCCATTGCCTGATATGTTTTCTAAGTGGAAGCTATTTATAAGTTAAGAAATGCTAAAGCTTACTTTTCTGATGTATTTTAATTTGGCCTCATTTTTGTGCATTCTGATCTCTGATTTAATGACCATGTGTCATTCTTTCTTTTTTCCATTGAAAAATCCTGTTTTCCCTCCATGTTCAGGAAAAGGGTAGCTCATACATGAGCAGCATTTCTCTTTTCCTCTTAGGGTACAATGCTTACCTTTCCAACACTCAGATTCTACTTAAAAGTCTAGTTATTTCTTTTCTTTGGGCTTTCTGTAATGCTCCTTCCTCCCTTTTGTGACTGGGAACTTTCTGAGCAGGAATAAACATATTTGCCTATTATATCTATAAAGTGAGGGTGGATTATTCTCAGTTTAGACAAACGAGGTACAGAATGCAGGTGCTTAAGCTGAGAACCTAGAAACAATTTTTTTTTTTGAAAGTAGGTGATATTGTGTAATACTTCATATGTTTAAAACACAGTTGCCATTTTAGATGCGTCTCTGACAATCTCTTGATTTGCAACTCCAGTTGATTGGACTAGGATGTATTGAGTTTGGCACCCGGAAAATAAGAATTCCAGGTAGTAACTACTCATGCAAACGTGGCTTAGGTAACTTCATGAAGTATCATGTAATGACTGTTTGGCAGAAGCAAGAATACGAGCACTAGTTTGTTTACTTTTTAGAGCAGCATTTCAGCTTCAGGTTGAAACCAACTTATCTTTTGGTTTCTGCAGAAATGAGGCAGCATCAGGTGATGGCATCTTATCACATTTCCTGATGTGTCACCAAAGTATGTATAGTCTGTACTGAAGCAGGGATCCTGGGAAAAACTATGGTGTGGTTGTATCATTACTATGTAAGAAATTAAATATGAGAAAGGTGGAATAAGGCTGCATCAGCAGGAAGTGCTGGCATTAACACTTGCATGTGCTAGAATCTGCAGCTTTAAATTGTACTTCTAATAATGTGTGGGATCTTCTAAGGCTTTAAAATAAAAAAAAACCCACCACACAAAACAAGCTCAAATTGAAAAGAAGCAGTCATTCTTTGGCTTTGCCATGTAAGCAGATGCAAAATACTTTTTTAGAGATTGTTTGACAGACCTCTTTCTCTCAAAGAAACATAAGGGGGGTGGGGGGAGGAATCGAGCAGAGACACTAACCCATAAAAATACTGTCCCCAGCTTTTAAGAGGGCTTACAAACACTGTCACTGGGATCTTTATAGTAGAACGTTTCAGACTGTAGTAATTGATGCTACTAGTGTAATCTGTAAGAAATATTATGCTACAGGTGATTCTGAGATGTTATTTTAAGATTTCAATATTTTGTTGATCCTGCTGTAGTTGGCCTTTCTGTGCTAGAAGTACCAGTGCTTATAATCTTTATTTCTTTTCCATAAGCTTTGCTCAATAGAAGTAACATGTGAATCAGCAAGTGTGATGGCAGCAACTCTGGCTAATGGTGGCTTTTGCCCAATCACTGGTGAGAGAGTCCTGAGCCCCGAGGCAGTCCGGAATACCTTGAGTTTGATGCATTCCTGTGGCATGTATGACTTTTCAGGGCAGTTTGCCTTCCATGTAAGTACTTTACAGGTATTAATTGCAGCAGACCAGGAAGGTTAATCTGTGCTATTATTTTCCATGGTCTAGGGGTTGCTTCCTTGCTTTTGAGTCAGAAAAGAGGGTGTTACTTGAGTTTAGAAATTGAGCACCCTGTAAGGGAAAATCTCACCTAGGATTTATGGCACTACTAGTGTCACATACCTTAGAGCACTCTGCCTTCACATCTAGGAATCCTTTTCATATCAAAACATAAATACTGTTCCTTAGGAAAGTCTGTTCATGAGAGCACCAGTAACTGAAAACATGGGTGAAGAAATCCTGCTGTATGGGAGTCAAGGATAGCAGAAAGCCTTTGCACACAGTTGTTTTTTCTTCAGTAACTCAGGCTCAGAAATTGTCCTTGTATGTGTGAAAATGGTTGTCATACACAGCACATGTACTGGGCTCCTGTTTTCTAGCAAGTGTGTTCCTTACATGTGTATAATTCAAGATGGACTGTACCTTACGCTTTCAGTATTTTTTTGAACATTTTTAGGTTTTCCTTTCTGCATACACATGAAATTGATTATGATGCATGTTGTCACATAAAATTTGCTGCTTGGAGAACTGTGAGGTTTTATAACATGTTAGTTTGGACTGGAAAAAAGTAATGCCTTTGTTGAGATTGTAAATAAGTAGGTTATTGTATGATTTCATAGATACTTTCCAATTTGCTTGTGGTTTTGTTCTTTACCTTCTCCAGTCAAGATTTTTGCAGCTTCATTCTGCCACCTTGTTGCAAGCTGTTCATGAGACATACACTTGTGCACTACTGCATAGTCATAATGATTTTTTTAATAGATTTAAATTATCTTCTATCACAGTACTATTGACTCACTGTATTCCTGAGAGCAAATAGTTTTATGATTGTGAACCTTGGATTGTTACAAACTGCATTAGCTAATTGTTTATCTAAAAAGAGATAAGTAATAATGCTTTCCCAGCTTCAAGTGCCTTCCAGATACATGTTTTATAAATGCTTCACAATAATCTTCAGGAAAATGCTGATGCATTGTGTTACAATAGTGAGGAACAAGTGCAGAGGCCAATTATTCTCTGTAATATTCTGTAGGTTGGTCTTCCTGCAAAATCTGGAGTTGCTGGTGGAATTCTTCTGGTTGTTCCTAATGTCATGGGCTTGATGTGCTGGTCACCTCCTTTGGACAAGATGGGCAACAGTGTTAAAGGAATTCACTTTTGTCATGTAAGCAGCATTGCCCTTGGGTTTTTTGGTTATTTGGGTTTGTTTTTTGGTGGGTTTTTTTTTGTGTTTTTTTTTTTTTTGTTTGTTTTTTGCTTTTGCAGCTGATGCTTATTGTGCTTCAGTTGGCATAGCTGAGATCTAAGTGAATTAAATAGTGATTTCTGGTTGTTCCCTACATAACAAGTTTAATCTGATTCAAGGGTGAAAGTCTAAGAATAGATGTTTGCTTTTTAGTAGTAAATAGCATGTGATTTCAGCCAGCATTGAAGTATGATGCTAGAAACACTGGAGAAGCAGTTGTGGAAAAGCTTTGAGAAAGAACACTTCATGGAGTAATGAAAGTGCTGGAATATATTGCATTAAAAACAGTAGAGCTCTATTTATAGACTTTTTCCTCTCTCTTGTCATAAAGTGCTGTTTTCAAAACACTGGAAATGCAACTCTTGTTCCATTGTAATAAAAGAAAAAGCCTGTAATGAAATACCGCCATTATGATGTATTTTTAAACTGATTTTTGTAAACCATCTGACATAATGGATGTCTTTAGAGATGATACCCAGATGCTGGGCAAATGCTTCTGAGTTTCATGTTGTGCCAGTGAAAGAGCTATGGATAGTCTGCTGATAGGAGCATTAGAAGCAGGAGAGATTTTGGGGAGGACTTTGTAATGATTAATTCAGGTGTTTTATGGGAGAGGAGAATGTAAAAAATTTCTTCCTTTTTCTCCCTGAAACTACCTTGTAGTGATGGTTGCTCAGTTATAAATGGGAGATTGAGCAGCAGTTAAAAATGTTCATGTTTCTATTTATCCAACATTTACACAGCTTCATATTAAGTTACTAATTTTAGTTCAAGTGCTTTAAAGCTTCATATTAAATAGTCCTGATAACTCTAAATCCTAGAATAGAGGGGTAGGTGAAGGATTTACTGCATTGCAATGAGACCTAAAAACTGATACATGATTGTGGCATACAAGTAACACAAATGTAACGGTCACTTTTAAAAATAGAACAGCATTGGCAGGTTTTGTGATTATAGCCTTTCATGTTGTAATTTAAACTGATTGAGAATCCATTATGTCACTCATTTCCTTGTTTCATCCTTTTGATCGAAGTTTGATGTACTGGGACCTAGCCCAGGCTATTTTTTCTGTTCCTGAAGTGTTGTGTACAGCTGGAGTAGGAATTTATTAAAACAGATATTTTGCAAATTTCCACCTTGTTTCAACCTTCCGTAAGAAGGACTTTAAAGGTATTATTAGAATTTTATCCTGTAGATCTATTATGCTCAAAGTGTCTTATGGAAATGGGTATTAATTTATTAAATTAACTTCTTACTGGTTTAAGTTACTAGGATATGATGCAAAATGTAAGTGGTAGTATTATTAACTGAGATGCATTTGCCTACTCTATGCAGATAATAATGCATGTTCTCTGAATGCTTGCAGGATCTGGTTTCTTTGTGCAATTTCCATAACTACGATAATTTGAGACACTTTGCAAAAAAGCTTGATCCTCGCAGAGAAGGTGGTGATCAGCGGGTAAGTTACTGTCTGTATTCAGTGAGGATTGCCTGTAGACTTCAGAACTATGGAAACTTCTTTAAATGCCAAACTGCTCAATGACATGTATTGCATCAAAGCTTTCAGATCATCTAGTTAGTGTACATTGTTAGTGGACACTTACTTGGGTGGGCCACACTATCACAGGGTTTTGTGTATGGAGAATTTATTACTAGATTTGTAACTCCATTTCTTGCAGTTTATCCCCCCTCCTAGTTTAGGTAGATGGTATCTGATGGAAGTTGCCAAGAGTTTTACTGTACTGGTTGCCTTTAATACAGACTTTGACCAGCTGGTGGGCTTAGCCTTTCTCTTGTGTGCTGCAATGCACGAGATCTGTGTTTAGCTGTATTTTCACAAGGATATCTCTGACACCACATGGCCTGCTGAGAGTTGCTCAGGCAGTGAATTGAGGCATGAATAGTTCTGCAGACAGGAGCCTGCTACTTAGGGAGCAGTGTAAGCAGTGTCTGGGAATGAACTGAATCCACTCAGCTACATTTACAAAGGATACAAGTGTGAGGGGATTGAGATAAGGAAAACCTCTTTCTTTTCAATGCCATTAATGTTTTGACTAAGGCATGAAAATTGCAATACAGTAGAATGATTTTTAAAGTGCTTCTATTTGCATGTATACATCTAAAAAATACCCAGTTTTGAATTTAATTTTTATAAGTGGAAAAGAGAAACTTAACAGTTTATGTGAAGAGCTGAAAAACTTGAGTCTGTTAGCAATGACTGCAAGTATGGATTTTTTTTTTTTTTTCCTTCAAGTACACTAATAAATAATGTATGTTGCTTGAACAACTAGCATTCCTTTGGACCAATGGACTATGAGAATCTCCAGCAAGAACTTGCTTTAAAAGAAACAGTATGGAAAAAAGTGTCACCTGAATCAAACGAGGACATCTCCAGAACCGTAGTGTATAGAATGGAAGGTCGGGGAGAGCAGAACTAAACAAATGGGTTCTAGTTTCATTAAATTCTTCATTTTAAAAACCCTCAAGCATCTCTAGATTTAACTTTGATTTGAATATTGTTTACCTGGTGTTTCATTTATATATACATTTTGTGTAAATTCTGTATGCTATACCAAAAAGATTGTCAAAGTTCAAGGGTGTGTGGGGAAAAAGCATGTGCAAACAAACCCAAAGCAGGGTTTGTAGTTTTTTGTTTTGACTTTTGTAGTTACTTAGAACACATTTAGTTTAAAAAAAAAACAAAGGTAAATCTTCATTTTTCAAAGATACACCACAAAAGTGGTATGTATCTGTTTATTTTTGTTTATATCTGAGAATTTTGAGTATATGAACTTTGAGGCTGAGCAAGAGCTTGTGTCCACTGAGCAGGGTCAGCTTGTAAAGATAGAATATTAATTAAAATATAAAATAGTATTTGTCAAAATACAGCAAAATCCTGAATTTCTAAATAATTATATATTACGTGGAGATAGGTTCTGAATCATATTATTACCATGTCAGGGTTTTTTTAATGTGAGCTTTCACATTTGAACAGAAATTGACCTTTTGCATATGCCATGCTATTGAAGATTATTTTTTCTTTTTATCAAACCATTAATAATTATTAATGCTAATATTGTAATAAAGAGAGCAAAAATGCCTAGGCAGGAGTGGGGAGGAGGAGGAAGAAAACCTGTCTTGTTTGCAAGTTAAATAATGCAGCAGAGAGATTTCTGCCCCAACTATTTGGAGTGTCTCTCTTGCTGCTCGTGCTGCCAGCTGGTAGTTATGACTCAGAAGTCTGCCTTATTAATAGTGCTGTGCTCCACCCTGGAAAGGAATGTAAGCAATCTGGGATTTAGAGTGGTAACCAACTGAGCAGTGAGCAGGAAATATGTTCACAGGGAAGAAGATGGGTAGATTTGATTAGAACTGTTTAGAACTATTAATGTGTGCATATGTTCATATATGCGGTTTCACTTACACAGGAGCAAATTCTCAAGAAGTTGTCATTAACTGCTATTTTTTGGAATTATTTTGAGTTTGCAGCTCTGTCATCTTACTGAGAAAGAGGACTTGCATTTTTCTACAGGCAGCTGCATCTCTTAAGCTGTATGATTTGATAATTTGAGTATCTTGAGTAGGGTGTAGCTCCAAATGATATATTTATGCTTCAGATACGCTCAATTGGCAGTTCTGAACAGAGGTCAAAGACTTGCTAAATTCTTAACACTTGCAGGAATTACATTATTAATAATGCTAAAAATCTTAGAAAAGCATTCTCTATAAAGTTTTCTCCTCTCTACATTTGCAAATAATCTGATATGTCCCATCCCTCATACATGTCACACAGTGTCCTGGTTTATCAAACTGGAGAAACTTGTCCAAGCAATGATAAATGTTATTAGCTGGTAGAGGATTTTAAGAGACAGCGACAAACAATTCCCTAGTAAGACCTTCACTTCTCTCTGCTCCCTTCTCCAGTCATTCTCCCTTTTTTCATCTAAAACTCCAAAATGTTGATATGTGAGTTTTGCCTAATTGCAGAGTCAGTTTTTTCCTGTTCCTTTTTTGACCTATCTGGATGTTCATGAGTTTAGGAAGATGCATAAAGCAGAGCTGATGTTCTCTGAGAAAGCAAGCTACTCTTCATTAATCTATTTGGGTATTGTTAATTTTGGATAAACATTTGAAAAAGCTCTGACTAAACCCTGAATAATCTTCATTTAGCAGAGTATTGTAAAAGGATGGGCTTCCTGTCTTTGAAGCCTAGGATGGAAATATTTCAGCAAAATTATACAGAACATAAATTTTTCAAAGTGAATTTGATGCCCTACTGGGATGAAGAGGTAAATTTGTGGTGCAGATGTCAGTAATAAGTGTCAGTCATGAATTGCTGAATAATAACTATTTTATAATCTTATATTTGATGATAAGGTTAGGTTTCTTAGTGCTTATCCTCAAAATAAAGGTAAAGTCTTGAATTATAAAAATGTCTTGCCTGTTTGAGGATTTTGCAGTGAACTAGTAGCTACAGAGACATGGCAAGTACTCAGATCCTGCAGGACTACTTTACCTGAAATACCCTCAGTTACAAGAGGGAACATAATGTGTCTGTGCTGCTAATGGAAAGTATTTACAGTGGTGACATGTTGCTGGATGACTTGCTAATTTAATTAAAAATGGAAAAGGCATGATGCAGGATTTGCTTGATCTGACTCTACCACCTTGATTTTTAGTACTGTTTGAAGCCACTTTAAAGATGTGGTTGAAGATGAACTATTTTTCCACATGCAAAGCTTGTGATAGAGTCAAGTCCTGCATGGGAAATACAAAAATAAGAAAACTACTATGTCTTCAATATGCATAATAAGAATATTTAGGGTACAGCTTAAACAATCTTTAAATATATATATATAGATATATATTACAGTTCTGTAATATATGCTTTTGAAGCCTGCCTCAGAATTGAAGGCAGCTTCTAGCTAGGAAGGGTCCAGGAGGAGATTCCTCTGAACCAGCTGTTCTGTAACTTGCCCACACTTGTAGTTCCTTGCCCTGGCTGCCACCTGTGCAGATGGCTGCTGTTCCTGGCAGGGCACCTGGGGGGCCAAGGTCCCCCAGCACGGGCAGGTGGGAGAGGCCAGGCCACAGAGGTTTAGTCATTCCATGTGTGAAGTCTGCAACGGTTCTAGGTTCACCTGTGCTACAGTAATAGCAATTCTTGATATTCAAGCATTTTAGCTGTTTGTTTGTTTTTCTTTGTCAGCATCATTAACATTTCATTAGAAATGTAAATGCTTTTTAAAGATTTATTTTAGCATTTGTGTTGTACCTTTTGGCTCAGTTGTTAAGTTACCTGTCTCGTTTTCCATTTTTCATTTGCATTGTATGTTATTTATGTATCTTGATTTCCAGCATGCTTATTTTTGTATTGTTTAATAAATTTATTTTAAGCTGATTTTTTATTGTATTTTTTTTTCTCTCAATGGAGAACAGATTTGTTCAAACACATTTTTTTAGATTGAGATAGTGAGTACTCTGTTTGAAAAAAGATTCTGGAAGAGTAGGTGGAATAAGCAGATTTAGTTAAACCAGTCATTATAAATTTTCCTATGATTTTGTAAACATTTTTCACAATAATTTTTCTCTTTGAAGTGTTGTCTTAGAAAGTTGAAGGCAAAAATCAAAGTAGCAAAACTTTGTCACTGTGACTGTTTCAATAGAGAAGTCCTGATGCAGTAGAATTTTAACATCACTATATATTTGTCTAGTTTTGAAGATACTGATTCAGTCACACGAAAAATGTATGGTTAATGGTGCCAGCGTAGTAACTGCTGATCCTGAGCATTGTGAGGGGAAAAATACAGCTTGTAATAAATCATGTGTAGCAAGGGAGGTGGTCCAAGCCCCACATTGTTTTGGTAGTAATCCTGGGGCCTGCCTATACTGGGGATGGTCAGAATTGTTAATTTAGCTTTTCTGTAGACTGGTTTATAATCAGAAGTTACTTGTTCTATGCTTGTAAAATTAGCTGTATGTTCGTTATAGTTAAAAAAACCCCACATATAAAAATAACTCATATCCTAAAAGTCATAAAGATGATGGAAGGAAAAAAAGTAGTAGGTACAAAGCAAGAGCCACAGGTGATTTACTGTGGAATTATTTTGGCTCTTATATTTTGGTTTTCAGCATATATTTGTGTCAGAAGACCAGTGGGTGGGTAGATGAATAAAAAGGCAATGGATTCAGAGGAGGGTGGTGGTGGGTGGGGGGGATGGATTATGTTCTTTTTTATTGCTCATATATCTCTTGGTCTTGATACATACATGTCATTGATGCACAGTAATTTGTGAACAAAGGAATTAATTATGAACATAATTTATATATGATGTTTTAGTATCCTAAACATTGTTTGTAGGCTTGCACTGTTTTTTTCTTTTTTAATTTTAAATAATATTTCTGTAGCTTTTTTAAAGGTTTAAAATCAGTTATTGCAGTGAAACAAGAATAAACTTT